ACAAGGTCCTCGCCCCTCCAAAACTCTGGCCTTCCTTTACCAAAACGTGAAGCTTCTGGAGCTCAGGCTAGAGGAGTGGAGCCCAGCCCTGAGTCCACTCTCCTTCCTCCCAGACCCTCCTCGCCCCAGCACGAGGCCTGGGCAGCAGGGAATGCCAGGAAGGGCCGTTCGAGCTCCATCCAGGCCTCCCTGCCTGACACCTTTCCCATCCTGTGGGGGAGAAGGGGAGGCTTCAGCTGCTCTTGCCAAACAGGCAGGACTCCCGAAGGACAACCCCAGTGTCTGTCTCTAGTCACCCGCGCTGGAAACAAGCAGACTAGAGAATGCCTGATGACTAGCTCGGATCACTCACCTCCTGGGATCAAAACTCGGGCCTGCTAGAAACTCAGCTCTCACCAGAATCTCGGCTCTGCCACACCCCGACCAAAGAAAACAAGCCCTCTGCAGGGCACGGTGCCAGGCAGGCCCTCCGGCCCTAACCCTCAGCGCGAGGGGGCTCCTACAGGTCTCCTGAAAATGACACCTCTGAAAGACACTTGGCGCCACAGCAGCTCTGCACCAAGCAGAGCAGCAACAAGAATTCAAAACTGCCTCCAAAATCTACTCTCTATATACTTACATAATCAAAAATATGAAAACTAATGATTGCAGTTTTCCTGTAAGAACACCTTTCAGATGGCTCAGCTGAAATATCCCTTCTCTAGCTCCTGTTACAGTTTGCCTGTGCTAGAGAAGGCAGGTCATTCCAGAGTAGGCTTCCCTAGAGTCACCGTGGCCTATCCGGGCAGTGAGGGGACCTCGGCCCGAGGCCCCTTTGATGTCAGCCTTCCTTCCTGCTGGGTGTGCCCCTCCCGTTCCATACCCGGGCACCTCCACCAGCCAACCAGGCCCATTCCAACAGCTAAGAGGCCTGGATGCTCTTTTAGGAAGTCTGTTTTCCAACAGGATGTTCAATAGCAAGAAGGCTCTGGGTTCTAGAGAGAAATGGACAGCAACAGACTCACATCGTCATTGGCAGACTGCGAGACCCCTCTAGCGTTCCCCCGCCTGCCTGTGCCCAGGCCAGTAAGCCCCACGGGGCAGGGGTCAGCACCAGCTGCCTGCTGGAAACTAGCTTCCTGCTCAGGCAGGAGGCCAAGGGCTCTGGGCCCCGGCACTAGCACCCGCTACCTCCCCCAGTCAAGAGCCACGGATCTCTTTGGCACCATGCTCCACCCAGCACCTGCGGGGAGGAGGCTGTCATCTGCAGTCTCTAGAACCCTGATTTCCAGAAGGAAAATGGGCCTCCTCTTTGGAAGGAAAATTCCACAAGGAGCACACTCAGCAATTTTCCCCAGGCCCTCTTGGTTTCCCCCATTCCACTGCCTCCAACCTCAGCTTCATCTAGAGCAAGTGTAACGACCCCCACCTGAATCCTTGTGAGACCCTACCTCAGCCCATTGAAGCACAGTTCTCCTTTGGAAGGTGACCCCATACCTGTCCCAGGGGCCTCCCAGGGCTGGAGGTGAATTAAACATGTCCCAGTTTGACCAAGCTGGCACATTCCCAAGGCCCCCGACACTTCTACCAAGTTCTACTAGGAGACCAAGCCCACAGACCGGGCTGGAAGAAAAGCTGGTGATTGTTAACTCTTGTCCCTGCATGGGGGGGGGGGGTCGTGACCCCTGGGGCATCTGGTCCATTCTGGGGCCTGGCCAGGACCAGGAAGAGCAAGCACTCTGGAGTAGTCAGCCGCAAGGGCTCCTGTACCCAGCACTCCCTCCGAGCAACCAAGCAATCACTTGGGTGGAGCACCAGGCCCAGCTAAGGTAGAGCTCGGGCCACTGGGAGAGGCCAGCTCCTTCACACAAGCAGTAGCTTGGGAGAGCCAAAAGTGTTGGAAGAGGAAGGCCCACGAGGAATCTGTCCTGACACTGGGAGCTGGGAAGACCTTGGCTTTGGCCACTGGGGGAGGGAGCACCTTGGACTGCCTGAGGCAGCCCTCCTCCCCGCAGCCCTCCTAGAGTGGCACCGCTGGAGCGCGAAGGGGACAGGCAAGCGGGGCAAGCACCTGCAGTCAGCACAGGGACTCCGGAGGGGCACCGGGCTCCCCCACTCCTAGCTGCTCCAGCCCCGCGGGGACCCAGTCACCACCTGCCATATGTTAGAGGTGGCAGGAAGCAACCGGGTGTGATCTTAAACACCAATCTATTAAGGAAACAAGTAGATTGGGGGCCAAGACTAAGCACCCCAAAAAGGAGACAACCACCAGCTGTGTGAGCTTACTCCTGAGCAATGAGCAGGGGGCCAAAGCCTCAGTTTGGTTTTGTCACTAATTACTAATTTGCTTTATTCAAAAGATGAGGTTCACCGTCCCATTTTTTTCCCCCAATGGAAGCCCCCTGGTCAAGACAGACCTGGATGTCAATTTGATTTTAGTTTGGGGAGAATAGGTAGGGGGAGTCGAGGGCTGACTTTACTGGTGCCTAGAGTTGCAGGTCAGTATCACAGGTTGCTAACAGAAGAATCTTTTGACATCACCAGGGGCAAAAGAGATAGAACACTACCTGCTAGAGGAGAGCACCTGCTAAAATAAAACCTCCTCCTTTTCCTGCCTTCAGCACCTAGCAACTTCTGGGATTGACAGTCTACCTGCAATCAGGGCAACAGAGGTAAATAGCTGCACGGGCTGACTCCACAAAGTCCAGAACCCTGGGAGAATAGCGCTGGGAGCTCCCTGGCGTGTGTGTGTGTAAGAGTGCATTCGTTATGCATCGGTACAGAATAGAAATGTTCCTGTGTATGCGTGTGAGACTGATTGATTGGTGTGGGGCTTACGTCTGCAGTGGGGACGAGGCTCAGCCCACCGAGCCTGCGTCCCCCACTCCCCACTCCATAATATTCTTATACATGACACTATCTATGTATTTATAGAGCGCCTATCACCGTAGGCCCCATCTTTCTAGGGACGCGGACTTGGGGCCGTGTGCTTGCCGGCACACCTCCCAGCTCTGCCAGTCCCAGGAGGTGCCATCCCCCCTCCCATTATAAAATATATATCTCTATATGCCACATATCTACACCCCGTCTACCCAGGCAAGCACCTGCCCGTTGGGCCCTCACCCTGGAGCCAACAGCGCCATCCCTTCCTACCGCCAACGCCAGGCTGCCCGCCTTGGCAGGAAGTGGGACAAAGTGCCGAGCACTCGCGGCTCCAGTTGCTGCTGACTCGAGGGAAGAGCACAGCTATCATCAGACCAAATACTAGAAAAGAAATACACACCACTCCAATCACACACACAAGGAGGGAGACTGCCCGGTCCTCCCTCCAGCCCTGACACACCTGACTCAAGAGGAGGGGAAGTAGAAGAGAAGAGTGATGAGCCCGGAAGGCAGGCCTCGGGGACTCCATGGCCGCCCCGTTGCCACCGCGCCCAGTGGCCCACCTGGCCCGAGGGGTGGGGAGCCAGGGCACCAGAGCCACCGCTAACTTAGAAGCACCCTGCTCCCCGCACCTTGGTTTGAAACCTAAAGGGAAGGGTGTTGGGTTTTTGTCTTCTTAAAGAAAATCTTAAAACAAACATAATTATAACCAGAACCATAAGAATAACTATAATAAAAGGTGTCATCAGCCTCCCAGTATAAAACTGCAGCCTTTGGAGATGACCAAAAACATCACATTCCAGGGGCCAGGAGCCGCCTTGTGCACAGAGGGGTGGATGGTGGGGGCCTCATAAAAGAACACACAAAAGGCGACTTAGACAGGAAAGCACCAGTACGTTTTGTATGTTTTTTTATTTGCTCCAGGTGGGGTTTTTAACTGTCACGTTCCCACACTCTGGATAATTTCTGATCCCACCACAAGGAGCCCTCGAATAGGCTAAACTGAGAAATTGGGAATGAAGACTCCTTACTCTGCCATCTTGCTGAGGGAGTCTCCTTTTAGAAAAAAATCAAGGGTTATTGCATGAGTCTGGATGAATTCCATGCTCAGCTTTCCACGGTCCGACATCCTCCTCTAACCCCCTTTTTGGCAGGGAGAAACGGGAGAACGCTGCTCCCAAATCCTCCTCCTTCACTTTGTGTAAAAACCAAGGGGAAAAACCCACCTTGATGGCGAGTCATCTGCGAGCTGTCTCCCTTTCTCCATCCTCGGTCAAACCCTTTGCACATAAGGCAACGTGGAAGCTGATGTTTTTACTCATCTCGCTGTTTTAAAGCACCATTATGAAGTCGGGTTGTACAGTAGTTAACAGTACCTTTTATATATATATCTCATATCTATCATATATATATAAACTGTAAACAAGAGGTAACAGCGGCTTCTAGAAACTGATTTTCTTCAAGGTTTCCTGTGTGGTAGGCACCTGAAATACTGTAGAAAAGTGTATTATGTGGTGTTCTTGTCTTCCTGCTGCTAGCTGGGTTCTGTTCTGCATGACCAGGAATGGTGCTGGCAAGACAGCTCGGTGGCTGGGAGGGAATTTTGCCACCTGAGTGTCTCTCTGTTTCTGCCTCCTGCTTGTGCTCCTATCTGATCAGGCTAGAGACAACAAAAAAAGATATATAGTAAAAA